GCCACCGCGCCTGGCCCAAAATTCTTGAATGTACAGCAGAGGTATCTTTGAGCATGGGGGAAGGAGGGACAGAAGTAGACAAACATGTCAGGGGACAGAACACCAAACAAGAATTCAAAGACTTAGATGTGACAGACAGGGAATAACATAACGTTATGGTTCAGTTAAGTAGGACCCATTTCATTTTAAGCTACAAAAAAAGAAGTCACATCCAAACATGATTTACCTGAGTAGCTGATATCAGTTGTTCTGGATCACTACCAAAAGTTTAGACTTTGAAAACAGCTCTCTAAAGCACATTTCAAAGACGCAAACCCATCACTGACAACTGAGACTGAACTTCTACTTTCTCCCATCTCCCTGGTTCTCAGACACTCACCTGGAGAGTCTGAACTTGGGACTGCTCCCTCTCCTACCCATGGCTCTTCTCCCTGCTCCAACTTGAAGATGACATCTGGTTTCATGACTTCATACCCTGTTCAGGGGAAATCACAAATACTGCTTGGGCTGCAGGGCCTCTGAAGATGAGCAAGGTTTAACATCAGAGTTGGCCTGGTAAACCTGTACCTCCAGAGAGTAAGTGATTCTCAAAGTTCCCAGGGGGGTAATAGGGTCTAAGAATCTTTGACTTCTAGGCTCTTTCATTTACTAGCTGTCAGTCCTTGAGAAAGTCATTTAACCTCTCTTTGTCTCAATTTTCTCATCTAGAAAAAGGGATAATTGTTCCTGCCACACAGGATTGCTCCGATGATTAAATGAGTCATATACGTAAAGCACTTGGCACAGTATGTGGTCTACAGTAAATCACATGCTTCAGGAGCTACCACCATGACTATCACTGTTACTACTTAAGTTTCAGAGGCTGCACAACGAACTTCAGACTTCACAGCCCAAGGAACTTGGATCTCCTAAATTTTGGCCCAAAATCATTAAAAATTTCAGAAGCCTATTGCTTTCAGCAACTAAAGAAGACAAGGCAACACACTGGGCACACTCCAAGGTACTCGAGGAAGCTTTTCTTACCCAGTGACACTAGGCTACTATAGTTCTCCAACATGACATCCTTGTATAAATTCTTCTGATAGGGATCCAACAGCTGCCATTCCTTTTGGGTGAAGTCCACAGATAAATCTTCAAATGAGAATGATTCCTGTAAGAGCACAATTCTCTTAAGTCTGAAGCAGTTACCAGTACATGACGTGGGAAAGAAGTACTAGAGCTTGAGCACACTGTTCTCATAAGAAGTTGTGTAAAATACTTACTGTGCCCCTATCTTTGCATATTTTGTGTGACAAAATGCCATTGTGCATTCTTCGATCTTTCCATTTGTATAACTGTCAACCTAAACAGCAAATACAGAGAGGCGCTCTAAAAAAACATGATGTTTAATTTGGGAATAGGGCATTGCAACAGGAATATGTGTGCCATAGTAAACTATGTGTGTATTCAGGAAGGTACAGGAAGACAAAAGGTTTTATAAAAGAAAAAATGAGGAGAATTATGTAATTGTTTTAAATAATTAATCTTGGTTACAAAGATCGACAACAAGGGTGACACCAGTCCGAGGTTGGACAGGCAGTTTCAGGACAGATGTATTTGCAGAAGTATTTTTTGTGTAAGGTTGCAGGAGGTTGTGGTTTTTGCAGTCTTGTGTGGTATTTTCTGTTATCAGGCATACAAGCATGAGAAGCCTCTCTTCATGGGCTTCCCTGGCTCTATTTGTCAGGGTTTTTTTAAAAAACAGTATTGAATCCACTTTGATTCTGACAACTCTCACACAACACATGAGAACTGTAAATCCCCTGAACCACCAACAAAATATTTACTGGACCTCAAATTTGGCACTGAAAGAGGTAGTAGCAAAAGAAAGATAATAAGATAAAACTCTCAAAAACTGCTTGGTCTTATAGCATTCCTACCAACGAAAAAAGTCAAACTAGATCAGATCTGTCCAACAGAACTTTCTGTGATGATGGAAATATTCTTTATCTGTGCTATCCATTTCATAGCTGTCCACTTTGTGGCTACTGAGCACTTGAAATGCAGCTAGTGTGACTGAGGGATTTAATTTTAATTAATTTGAATACTCGTGTGTGGCTAGTGGCTTCCATATTGGACAGTGCAACTCTTAAGTACCAATTTATAGCAAATACACATGACAAAACATACTAACAACACTGTGAGAATGCCACTGGCAAAATCCAGACAGAGGGAAACTATGCAGAAAAATGACCTGGCTTCTTCAACAAAAAATTGGGCTAGAAAAAAATAAGACAAGCCAATAGATTAAAGGGGACTTAAGCGACAGATCAACCAATTGCATTTATGACTTTATTTGGATTCTGATTTTTAAAAAACTGCAAACAACTTACAAATTTTATGAGAGAACTGGAAATCCAAACACTTACTAGATTTGGTGATATTAAGAAGCTACCTCAATTGGGGGAAGGGTTGCAATTGCAATGAATTTCACAAACAAAATGTTAAGTGGAAAGAAGACACAAATGAATATATACAACAGACAAAACCAAACCATAGTGTTTAAGGGTGCACAGATAGAAGTAAAACCATAAAGAAAAGCAAGGAAAGAATTATCAGAAAAACCAGGATCCTGGTTACCTTTGTCAGGAAGAAGAGGTTGTGACTGGCAGAGGGCACGTGAAGGGCTTGTTTGGTTGGGAATGTTGTATTGTTTGACCTGAGTGGTGGTTTCGTGCATATTCAGTTGACAATAATTCATTAAACTGTACTTTTATTTTTCATGCACTTTTCTGCATGTAAATGAAGCTTCACAATTTAAAAAGGTAAATAAGTAAATAACTATGGTCATATTCTGAAGAATACTATAAAAATAGCCATTAGACCCATGCACTAATTACATTGTTTCTCTTGAGAACATTACCTACTGCAGCAGTCCCCGCCTTATCCACCCAGGATATGTTCCAAGTCTCCAGCCAATGCCTGAACCTGGACAGTACCAAACCCTACATAAACTATGTTTTTTCCTATACATACATACCTGTGATAAAGTCTAGTATATAAATAAGCACAGTAAAAGAGTAACAATAATAATAAAATAGGACAACTATAACAATGTGCTGTAAGAAAACATCATGAACTGTTACGGTAACTTTTGCAGTTTGAGGTACAATAGCAGAGCTAACAAGTACTTCTTTTCCTTCTTCACAATTTCACAGATAGAAGATTCATTCTTGTAGATATCAGGAATGTCAGCATATGATTTTTTTCCTGTCCTTATGTTGAGAACTTACAGGAAGCACTTTATGGCTTCTCTTTAGCCTGTCCGAATTGCTACAGTCACTACTCTAGTGCTTTGGGGGCCATGATTAAGTAAAATGAGGGTTACTTAAACACAAGCACTGCAGTACCACAACAGTCAACCTAATAACCGAGATGGCCACTGAGTAACTACCGGGCAGGTAGCATATGCAGGGTGGGTACCCACTGGGGAGAGTGTGGGCTTGGGATTTCATCCCCTACTCATAACAATGCAAAATTTAAATCTTATGAATTGTTTATTTCTGGAATTTTCCATTTGATTTTTTTTTCTTTTTGAGACAGTCTCACTCTGTCACCTGGGCTAAAGTGCAGTGGCGTCAGCCTAGCTCACTGCAACCTCTAACTCCTGGGCTCAAGCAATCCTCCTGCCTCAACCTCCCGAGTAGCTGGTACCACCACACTGGGCTAATTTTTCTATTTTTGGTAGAAACAGGGTCTTGCTCTTGCTCAGGCTGGTCTCAAACTCCTGACCTCCAGCAATCATCCCACCTCCCAGAGTGCTAAGATTAAAGGCATGAGCCACCTCCTCGCCCAGGCCCCATTTAGTATTTTCGAACTGTGGCTGACCTCAGGTAACTGAAACTGCAGAAAGCAAAACTTCGGACGGGGGACTACTGCATATCACTTATTTGAAGGCTTCATCACAGGAAAAAAAATGGATGTGTAATTACCAAGAAATATTTACTGCCTATAAGGAATTGATTTGCTTTTTCCTTTGAACCATGCAACTTACATAAATGTTCACATTTCTTTATTACAACTGCCAAAAATCTGAGAACCAAGTTTGCAGCTCAAATGCAGTAATTATGCAGGACACTATGGCTTATAAACAAACTTTTCAAGGCCTGATAGTTAATAAATCACTGCTCCAATTTTGCCCCAAACCTGATCTTCTATTCTGAGGCTATTTTTTCCAGACTTTTTAACTATTTATACTTTTCTTTTTCATTGGAAGACTTACACATCTCTTCTAAGCCCCTGGGGAAAAAAATGAGAAATAAACAATCGACTCACCTGCAGCATGTTCATTGTCTGTTGTCCGTGTGAGATGATTACAAAAACTGAGATCTGTTCTGTTCTGTGTCTCTTTTGCCTCTGCTTCAAAGCTCTGGAGTGAGGTCCTGGCAAGGTCTTCTACACTGAGAATGAATTCTTGATTCCAGAAACTCCCTTCTTGTCTCACATGAGCAGGCTTACTTGTGCAGAACCAGGATCTGTATAGACTTAGGGAAAAACGCACCTCAACTGGTATATTCATTGTGCCTGAAATCCTTTCCTCTCTTGCTAGGAACTTAGAATTCATGATCATCCAAGGCCAGAATATGTTTGTTATATAATTGAAACGGGGCTCTCAGGGAAAGAAATAGGGTATAGTAAAATAGAACAGTAGAAGCCTATGTCTCCGTAAACAGATAATGAAATATGAGAAATAAAATAATTCTCAGATTCATTCAATATTCACTGTGGACACTGAAATGCAAATCACTTTAACAGGTCCTATGAAGAAAAAGACAACTCTGCTTTAGGTAGATAGAATTCTTCAAAGCTCATGTGACTTGTGTTAAAACAAATTGAATTTCAATCAACTTTTTTCCTTTATTGGCTATGTGACTTTTGGCAAAAAGAAACAAACTTCTTCTTTCTGAGCCTGATTTTCCTATTATTAAAATCTTCTATATCCTTTCTAATTTTTGTTTGCCAATTCTATCAATATCTGAAGGAAGTGTGTTAAAATCTCCCAGTATCACTATAGACCAGTTTTTCCTTATAATTCTGTTGATGTTTGGATTATATGCTTATGATCATGCTGTTTGATGCATAGAGGTTATATATTTCTGGAGGAGTTTTTATTAATCATTATGCAATGATACTGCATATCCCACATAATGCCTTTTGCCTTAAAAACCCATTTTACCTTAGATGAAGTTGCCAACATCAGCATTCTTTTGGTTAGTATTTACCTGGTATATCACCCTCCATCCGACTACATTTAAAACTTCAGCATCATTATGTTTGTCCCTTATAAGCATCTCAGATCTCAAAGTTGTTGGTAATCCAAACCAATAAGCTGTCTTTTAACTGACAAATTCAATATATTTATGTTTATTGTAGTTTTTGTATTTATTATTGTTTCCTTTTTTTCCTCTTGCCTTCAGAGCCTCTATTTATTTACTTGCTAACATGGTGAAGATCAAGTGGACTTCACAGTGGGAGTCTGAGCAACAAGTGAGATATTAAAAGGAAAGTGACTGGTGCCTTGGAACAAGAACAACAGCTAACATTTGAGTGCTTTCTATATGTAAGGCAATATACTAACCATTTTACAATTTAATCTTTACAGAAAACCCTATAAAGCACTTAACATAATCTCCATTTTACAGAGAAAAAACTGAGACTTAGAGTGTGCTCTTGATCGCACAGCTATTAAGTAGCAGAATTAGAATATTGTCCTCTATCCTGCTATGTTCAAAGTATTTACTACCCAAATCATAACATAATTTGTGTATATTTACGTGCGCGTGCACACGCACACACAACATAAATCCTAGAATTAGCTCTTATTTTCACGCACACATTCAGTCACTTATTCTCACAAAAACACAAATGAAGAACAACCTGTCTCACCCTGTATCACACTAAAAAGCAGCACTTAAAAAACCAAACTATTCCCTTTCATGCCTTTTTGTGATTCAAACTTCAGTGCCAACTCAGAAATACATACTGAGGACTCTCCCAGTTATACAAGAAATGATTCTTTTATACCTCAAATTTAATATATAAATC